GAGTTTCCCCTGCGACCAGCTCTGGATCGGCGGCGGTCGGCATGAGTAATTTTGAGCTCCGGCGGGCTCGTCGGATTTCACTAGCTTACAAGCCCCCCCTGCGTCACGGTTGTTCTCTCCGGGCTGAGCTCACAATTTTTTTGGGGGGGCATGTGGGGGCCCGCCCTCGCCCTTGCCTTCGCCTGGCGGTCATTGTTTGGGTTGCCCTTGCTTCCCCCTTCGGTTTCCAATTGCATCCATTAGGGAGCTCCGTCACACGTGGCGCACTGTTCCGTTTGTGGAACTCCGCCTCGGCCCTGACTTTCCCGGGTGATTATGGGCGCAAAGTCCACATGGCTGAAAGCTCCCCGCCTATGCCGTCGCATCTCTTGGATCTGGATACTCGGAGATCCCGCGAGCCCCCCCTGGCCCGAGTCGCCCGTGGTTTCCAAATGGCCCGTGTCTGCGCTGAGCCATTTAAGAAATTTTCGGGGCCCAAGGGTAACAATTGTACCTCCAGGGAGAAGCATCTCGCTTGAGGGTGTTTGTGTAAGGGAGTGTCGGCGCGGGCCCGGGCTCATTCGCCGGGCTATCAGGCTTACGGCAAACGCCCGTTTTGCGGACTCCCCGACGGCCTCCGTTACCGATCGCGGCGCTGCGTGCGCCCGAAGCTGCACAGGCGCACGCCGCTGCTCTGGGCGATGAGCATCATATCTGGCATGAGTATGCTCTTGGTAATGAAGATAGAACTTCTACGATCATCTTACATTTGACCACCCCCAAAGCTCCTGGCCCCCTGCTGCTAACAACCCGAACCCCACCCTGTTTGATGTTGCGGGGGCTAAGGTTTCGTGGGGGTTGGTCGATCGTCCGGGCTAAGATGCGCGCGTGGACGGATCCGCGAAACGGCGCCCCGTCAGAGAGCTTTCGAGGGCTTCGTATGTTTGGATATTCTTCGTGGGGGGCAGTCTTCAATGAGTGTGTCATTCGGGCCCAAGGAACCGTCCTCGATGTTCTCTCTCAAACCTCCCAGGCTGCCGAACATTTGGCGTTCGCCCTCCTCCCTATGTTCCAGGAGTGCGGGGTGTCCAGGTACGGGGACAGCATGGTGGTTGTGAAGCTCTGCAATGTTAGCCCTGAGCATCAAATCTCGCATAGACATCGGCATGTTGGCCTTCGGCGCGGAGCGCTGCTTAACGATAAGCGTGGCCATACTTCGGTGCGGTGCACACCCGCGCGCCAACAGTTGGAGATCATTGATCATCTTCCCGATGACGAGAAGAGAACAGGCTTGGGACATTGGCACGCGGATGCCCATGCCAAGAGAGCTCTCCTCGACCACCCCCAACCCCCGCCCCATCGCTTTCAGGCGGTGGGCTGGACTCTTGCCAGGCTACAGACCATTGCCCGGGTTCGAGTGAAGGTTTTCGTTGTTTTTCCTCAGGAGAGGTCCGAGCGCGGGCCGAGGGCTGGTCCCAGGGCCAAGTTCCAATAATTTGGGGGGTGGCATGCGTGGCAAAACCTGTTGGGTTGATCACGCTGTCTTCGCTGCCTCCGCCTCAGTACCGATCCCTCGACCCGCCCCATGCTCGGTTGCCGTGGCATGAACAAGACGTGGCGAATGACTCTCGACTTTTCTCTCTCGGCCACACCTTTGCACGCTGCAGAGTGCGGCGTGGTTCGGACGAACCAACGTTGTTTTTTTCTGTGTTGTGTGCGGTGCATATACATCTAGCCGCTGCCATCTCCTCGGCAAAGAATTCCAGCAACATAAGCTCGCTAGAGCCCATACCACTTTGGAAAGGATTTACGATGGTTTGTATCCGCAGTATTGCGATGATTATGTTGTCACGGCGACCTCTCCGGAGGAGGGCCGCGAACCTTTGTTACGCTGCTACGCTTCAGCGCCCCCCGGGGTTGCGCAGCGGCAGTCGTTACTGGACGCCCTTCCTAAGAACGAGAGAATGGCGGCGCTTTTGGCATGGGTGCAAGCCCCAAAGGCGGCAGCCCAGGCTGCCAGTGCCTCGTCCACGCACGTCATAGCCCGCGTTATAAACATGGTCTGGCCCTAAAAGGGGTAAACAACAAATTGTCAGTATCCTGCTCTTCCTCCTCCTCCTCATCCTCTTTCTCTTTCTCCTCTTCCTCCTCCTCCTCCTCCTCCTCCTCTTTCTCTTTCTCCTCTTCCTCCTCCTCATCATCACCACCGTCAGCTCCATCATCATCAGCAGCAGCATCATCATCATCATCATCATCATCAGATCATCATCATCATCATCATCATCATCATCATCATCATCATCATCATCATCATCATCATCATCATCGTCATCGTCATCGTCATCATCATCATCATCATCATCATCATCATCATCATCATCATCATCATCCTCATCCTCATCCTCATCCTCATCCGCAACATCATCATCACCATCATCATCCTCATCACCAACCACATCCTCCGTCCTATTTTTTTCTGGGGTGGGACTGCGGCCCGTCCTGGTTCACAGAGTGCCGCCTGCTCACAGCCGTTCCGTGGCTAACAACATCTTCTTTTGATAACGTTTTGCGGCTAGAATGCGTGTGCGCCTTGGACATCACAGCGCTGGTGCTGCAGCCTCTCCCTCTCTATCTCTCTCACTCGTTTGTTTGTTTATGTTTTCTCTCTTTCTCTCTTTCTCTCGCTCTCTCTCGCTCTCTCTCTCTCTCTCTTTCTGTGTGAGAGGTGGGGGGAGGATGCCTCCTCTTTTTACCTCTGCGCTCCAGTCTCGCCTCGGTTGCGCCTTAGGTGGCTCGCGCCTCCTCCTCCTCCTCCTCCTCCTCCTCCTCCTCCTCCTCCTTTGCGCCGTAGGTTGCTCGCGCCTCCTCCTCCTCCTCCTTCTCCTCCTCCTCCTCCTCCTCCTCCTCCTCCTCCTCCTCCTCCGCGCCGCGCTGCGCCGTGCCGCGCCGCGCCGCGCCCGCCAGGCCTCCAGGTCGCGCAGATCCTCCTCCCAACTTAACGCCCTGGCGCCGGCGGCAAGCTCGTCCGCAGACCGATGCCGTCGATCCCCTCCCACCCGGCCTGGCGCCCGGGAGGGGAGGGGGCGGGACAAGTCGGTTTTCAGGTCGCGCGGAAGTAAGGACGAGGGACGACGACGACGACGACGACGACGACGACGACGACGACGACGACGACGACGACGACGGAGGTTGCAAGTTGAAGAAGCCAGGGGGGGGGGGCGGCCGCTGGCGCGCGTTCGGGACGTCCTCCTCCTACCTCCTCTCCCCTCTTCCTTCCTCCTCGTTGGAGAGCACTGCCATTTTATAACTGTTCTGGTTCGCGCTGCGTTTTACTGCCCCTTTTCTGTTATAATCTGACTGCGCATGCTCTCAGTCGCCCTGGTCCTCTGGCTACTGTTGTTGACTGCGCCATGGCTTCCGTTGTTGCTACTATTGCCCAGCTGGCTTCTCTAGACGATCGTATGCGTTGCCATCTATTCATCTGTTGGCTTGAAAGCCGTTCTTATTTTTCTGATCGGCCGTACCCACTGTTCATTGTTCTTCCTCGTTGCCATTACTTGAGCCCCTGATCGTGTCAGTTATTTGCGCGTGATACCTTCCATGTGTCATTCCCATTTTCAAGTTTAGTGCGTGCTGCTACGATCCTATCGGCCCGCACACGCAAGGTTGTGAGCACTGTAGTGAGTCGAATACTCTCACGTTATGCGTCTCAGCATTCTTCCCCGAGCGCGCCCGCCTCAGTTCATGCATTTCGTTTACTTCAGACTTTCCCAGAAGCTAAGATCCCTCGTTTTAGTTATGAGCGCGACAGCCACGACTTAAGAATCAAGTGCATGGTGCGATTCCAACTCGCACTCATATCTTCACTTGTTCTTATAGTGTCCATCGTCCTATCTTAGCTGATACTCCTGAGACTAATTGCGCCCTCTCTGCCTACACACGACTTCCCGTGCCATATCTTTTAGCATTCCACGATTGTTTGAGCAAGTTCCAGACGAGGCCCCAATATTAATGATGGAATCGGCTGTCATCCTCAGAGTCCGCAAGCGGTAGGGGCGAATATAATCAGAATCGAAGCTTGCATATTGAACAGCGGCGTCCCATCCATTCGCTTGGCGGATGGATGCGTTTATGACAAATACGTGCGGCTTTACTGTGCGATCAATCTCTTCGAACGAAAGCACCCGCCCTCCATCCGCACGTGTTACAGGGGAGCGTAAGATGATCGCGTGGCGTGCTCAAGTGAGGGCAACGTTTGAAACCATCCGCCTTCCATCCGTGTAGCACTCCGACATTCTAAGTTTCAGGGCCATGCATTACGAGTGCGTCTCTGGAAAATCGCTTGGCCCGCCCCACCAGCTCGTCTGGGTGTGCAGTGAGGAGCAGTTGTCCTAAAGCGGTGGGGGTGAACGAGGAGGAGGAGGAGGAGAAGTACAAGGAGGAAGAGGGCGATCGGAAGCAGGAGCGAGAATAATTTGGAATAAGGATGGTTGGTTGTTGTGGATGCATGGGTAGGTGCAACTCGGATGAGGAGTGGCTGCTGGATGATGCGGGAGGAGGGATAAGAGTGGCTGCAGGAGGGGGAAGAAGAGGAAGAGAATGGGGAATGGCTGCAGCCAGCGCAGAAACATGATGACGAGGATGAGGATGATGATGCTGATGATGATGATGATGATGATGATGATGATGATGATGCTGATGATGCGGCTGCTGCTGCTGATGATGATGACGATGACGATGACGATGACGATGCCGATGCCGATGACGGTGAGGAGGAGGAGGAGGAGAAGGAGGAGGAGCAGGAGAAGGAGGAGGAGCGATGAGGAGCGGTTGCAAGAAGAGGAGGAAACGGAATGGCCGCAGGAGGAGGAGGAGGAAGAAGAGCAGGAGGATAGTGTGGGAGAAAGGAGGGGGAAGAGGAAGAAACGGAGGAGGACGAGAGGATGAAGGGGTAGCCGCTGCAACGCCCGCTTGGCACCCGGGCACAGGGGCGCAGGCCCCCCAGTGGCGGCGCCAGCCAGGCTCAACTTTCTCATGGAGGGCACGCCCACGGGGAGGAAATCCGAGCCCCAGAAGGACGCGGACACCACGGTGCGCATTAGCGAGGACATCCTTTTCCACCTCCTCCTCCTCCTCCTCCTCCTCCTCCTCCTCCTCTTCCTCCTCAGAGAAGGAGGATGATGAGGATGAGGAGGAGGAGGAGGAGGAGGACGAGGAGGAGAAAGAGGAGGAGGAGGAGGAGCAGGTAGGAGAAGTAGGAGTGGCTGCAAGGACATGAGGCGGCAGATGGATCGGAGGGAGGGGGGGAGATAGGAGGAGGAAAGAGGCAGGATAAAAGAGGAATGAGGAAGGCGGTAAGAGGGATGAGGAGGGTTAGCACTCAGGTTGGATGACGCCTCAATCTCTGGAGCTTGCCGCCATATGCGGTAGGGATCGACCCTGCCGTCGACCCCAGGATGAATCAGCGATGCTGCAGTACGCCCTCCCGCCCCAAGTCCTCTTCAACCGTGCATTCTTTACACTGCAGGTCGGCCCCTCGAAAGACGAGCACGCCTGTGCCTGCCAGTCGTGCGAGAACCTCGCTTCGAAGAGGAACTGTCTTGACGAGAAAACGAAAATGTCGGATCATGAAGTCCAACGACGTGTCCAGCGAGAGCCCCAGTTTGAAATGGAGCAGGCCACCATCCGTACAACTGCTGCAGAATCTTACACTTATGCCCCCGTGCACCAGCACGTAAGTGTATCCTCCTCTACTGCCCGACGTTTGATGCCATTTGGGCTCAGGCGCTCGGCCGTTTCAGAACAACGGTTGGGCGCTGAAGCTGGCCCTTGGGACGTGCGCCGTCGTTGCTGCGCTGCGGCGGGTCAGTGAGAAGAACTTCCTTCGCGCCTGCAATCTCGGAATTTTTGTCGTCACCACGGGCACGCAGGAGGAGGACGATTGGTGCCGACGCGGGCGGCGGCAGGGGGAAAGCAAGCGCAAGCGGCAGCGGCGCTCCGCACAACCCTTTGGGACGGGAGCTTGGCCAACGTGCAGACGAGTTGCCCCCTTGTCGCCCGCAAGTCAGGGCGAGGGTGGCTGGCACGAGATTCGCGAAGGCTGCGTGGGCCCGAAAGACCACTCCCGAGGAGAAGGTGCCCCCTCGGATCAAGGACTCTGATGGCACCGTCTGGTTGCCAGGCGGCCACGTCATCGCCCACGACCCGATCGCGTGCCACTATTGTAAGGATGGGTACGGTTTGATCGCCAACTTCGTCCAGGTTTACGACTATGGTGGCGCCCCCGCTTTCAGCAGGTCGGCTCGTTCCTCGCGCACGAGTGCGTTACTTACCAAGGCCATGTGCGGCGAGCACAGGCAGACGCTCGTCAACAGGATCCTCGATCCCACGATCCCTTGCCACATGTAGAGGGGGCGCGGGCGGCGAGAAACGATTCGCACGAGCCAGCATGCACGGGGTCACCGCGAACAGTCGGATCCTAGAGGGGAACCGCCAGAGGACATTGAGGACGGCGGGAAGAACTGCATCTTGGGCCGCTACGGGGGCCATCACGAATCCTCTTCGCATTCGCCACCGACGCCAACGGAACGTATCGGCTCGGCAAGACTCGCGAGGGCGAGGGGGGGCACGGTGGCTGGCGAATTTGAGGACGACATCTACGGCAACGCCGTCGACATCTTCGGCGTCTCCAGCGCGCCAGAGCTGAGTGCCGAGCGGCTCGGCACCGAGCTGCGGTGATCCCTGCTGCTGCGGGCAGCGCTTAGCCTGGGGGACAGCTCGGCAACGCCGACGGACCAGAACAGATCGGTTCAGGAGGCGGGCCGCCCCTTTCGGGGACATGGAGATGGTCAAGCGCGGCGCCGCCCGCGCGGACAAGATGGCGGCTGGTCAGGGGCGCCCGGACCTGGCGGCGACGGTCTTCGTCAAGGAGAGCGCCCTCGGGGCCGCGCGCGCCTGGGCCACCAGCGCCGACAGGTCTGGCAAGAAGAGGGCCTCTTGGCCGCGAGCGGTCAAGCTCGTGCCGACGGGGCTGGCGGGTGAATGACAAAGGACACGGGGGTCGAGAGGCTTTGCGCCCCAAAACCTCCCCACGGCGATTTCCCAGAATACTGTGCCGGCTTTTCGCCGACTTCGAGGACGGAGGCTCAGGGCGCCACCAAGTTCGAGGACGAGAGCGCTATTCAGTTTCGCTCGGACGCGCCCGTGCGCTCGCGGGATGACTGGGAGCCAGCCTGCCGAGGAGGGCGCCAGCAGCGGCGGGGCTCAACGCGACCCAGCGGGACAGGAGCCACGTCCGTGCATTGGCCGGGGGCGCTGGCCGCCGCGAGGCCCCGCGGCGGGAAAATTCCTCCAGCGGGCGCTCTGCAGGAGGAGGGCGACGTAGCAATGCGAAGATGCAGGGCGGAGCGAATCCCTCAGGATCCGCGCGGCGCCCGAGAAGCCGAGGCGGCGCGTGATGGGCGGCGCGACGATGGCCTACCACGTGTTCTATGAGACCATCATCGAGGAGAGGGAAGCGCAGCTGGGAGAGCGGCCGCCCCGCGGGGCGGCCCGGGAGGCCGCGACTTCTGCGGCGCCTCAGGCCGTGGCAGCGGCCCCGCTCGACGCCCGCTCGGAATGCCTGGAAGCCGTCGACCGCTCGCCTTGGGACGTGTCTCGCGCGATGTCGGCGGCTGCCCTCCGAGCAGGAAGGGGCTCCGAACGGCTGCTGGTGCGCCTCCGGGATAGTCTTGAATCCCCACCCTCCGGTGGGAGGTGCATTTTGCAGAGGTTGTCCATTGCGGTTTTCCTCCCCCTCCACCTTTGGCCCTATGGTAAGTTCGGACCGTGTCGACGCGGCGGCGACCGTGGCGAGGGCGCACAGGATTAAACGCCGCCGGCCGCCTTGAATCGGCCCACACCGAACGGTCTGCGCTATCGGAAAACCGCGATCGTTCGCGCTTGAACGATCCACGCGGTGTCTGATTCCAATGCCGAAGTCGTCACGACGCGAACTTGCCGTAATCACCCCCTTTTCCTCGCAGGCCCGAATCGCTACCGATTTGGGACGAAGCAGCACGTACAGTCTTCCGAGATCGGTTGCGCCAGGCTGACCGTGCCACAGCGCCGGGTAGGAACGGGAGCCCGCGAAGCTCGAAGTCATCAAGAGCATTGTCTCTTCCCTTCTTCGTGCTCCTCCGTTTCCTGAGGTACTGGCGCTCCTCGTCCTCTTCTTCCTCCTTCTCCTCCTCCTCCTCCTCATTTTCCTCCTGTTCCTCCGTTTCCTCCTCCTCCATCTCCTCCTCCTCCGCCTCCTCCTCCTCCTCTTCCTCCTCCTCCTCCTCCTCCAATTCGTCGTCCTCCTCCTCTTCTTCCTCCTCCTCCTCCTCCTCCTCCTCCTCCTCTTCCCCCTCCTCCTCTTCCATTTTCGTCCTCCTCCTCTTCCTCACCCTTCCTCTCCTCCTCCCCCTTCTCCTCTTAGGTGGCTCCCCAGCGAGGCCCCGCGCAGCCGTCTTGCCCGCGGCGGGTGCGGCGGGCGGATCGGCCCGTGCGCCCGTGCAAAGGAGCCCCGAGGCGCCGAAAGCGTCGCGAGCGGACTCGAGTGTGGCCTGCGCCTAGCGCCGCGCCGCCCGAACCGCCCGAGGTCACGAGCGAGGCCGCGAGCGACACACCGAGCTCGGCGGCAGAGGCTCCGTCGGCGCGCGCTGCACGGCGGCGGGAGCGCCTGCGGTAGACGGTGGCGCGGCGGGCTCAGCAGCAGGCCGTTGAGGTCATGCAGCTGCTAGACCCGCCCGCGCCTCCGCCGGCTGCGCTCCCCAGCCTGGGCGACGCCTTCGGGGAGGTACTGGCGGCGGGCTGGAAGCTCGCAGTGGTCGAGCTTACGGACCGTAGTGGGGCGAGCAGTGGATGCAAGCATACTTGGAAGAGCCAGACATGAGCAGCTACTGCGCCGCGACCAGCCCTTGCGAGAACTGGGAGGTGCAGATAGAGCCCAACATGACCAGCTACAACGCTGAGATGTGGGCGAGTACGCGAAGTGGGAGGCGAAGATAGCGCCCGACACGATCTGCTACAGCGCCGGGACCATGGAGTGCGAGAAGAGGAAAGCAAAGCTGGAGCCCACCGTCTCAAACCTCAGCACGGATGACAGCGCGCGCGCGAAGTGGAAGGCGAAGAATGAGCCCGACAGGATCAGCAACAGCGCTGCGACCAGAGGGTACGACCAGAAAAAGGAGAAGTCAGAGCCCGTTACCTATCCTAGCCACTGCCCTGATCAAAGCGCGTGTGAGAGGTCGAAGACGAAGACGGAGCCCAACACGACCAGCTACAACGCTGCGACCAGGACGTTCGAGAAGAGAACGGCGAAGCTATAGCCCGTTATCCTCAACTACGGCTCTAGGACCTGCGCGGGCCATCAGTGGAAGGCGAGGAGTGAGCCCGACGCGGTCAGCTACAGCGCGGGGACCAGTGCGTGCGAGAAGGAGACGGCGAAGCTGGAGCCCATTATCTACCCCAGCCAGCACCAGAAGGCAAAGACGGAGCCAAACGTGACCAACTACAGTGCTGTGATCAGGGCAACGGTCGTGGAGGCCAGGCTGGAGCCCAATATCACTAGCGTTTCCCCTTCGGGTCCCCTCGTCGCCACGACTGGATCTGCGAAATCGGAAAGTGGTTCAGTTACGGAGGCGAAGAAGGCGGCCAACGCGACCAGCTACAACGCAGAAGACAGCGGTGGCACCAGCGGGGACCTTGGAGACAGAGCGTGCGAGAAGTGCGAGGCGAAGACAGAGCTTAATTCGAACCGCTACAGTGCGGCAGCTAAGGCATGCACCAGCACGGCGATGTGGCGAGCGCGAGCCGAGATCTCCCGCAAGTTGCTGGACCCGAGCAGGTGCCAGCGCGAACAGGAGGATGAGGCGAAACCGAAGCCCGACGTCGACAGCTACAACGTGGAGAAAGGTAGCCAATGGGAGGCGCAGGGCATCCATGGAGAGCGGGGGCCCCTCTCAGAGGAGGACCAGAAGAAGACCGAGACCAGATACCAGAAGTACGCCATCACGCGCAGCAGGAAGTTCAGCCCCTTCACCCTGCTGGGCTCGAACGGTAGGCCCACGTGGCCACTCAGGCCAGACTTCGCGAATATGGTCCTGAGGGGCACGCAGGGCAAGATACGCGTCCAGATATGGCGCGCGTGAGAAGTGCGAGAAGTGCAGAAGCTGCGAGGAGGATCAGCACCGCCTCGAGGGGCGGAGCCAGGGAGGAGACTGCAGCGCCCTGCGAGAACTGCAGAAGCTGTGAGGGGGACCAGCACCGCCTCGCGAGGCGGAGCATGGAGGAAACTGCCTCCTGCAGGCGCGCCCAGCCGCGGGCTACGGCGCCGAGAGGCCGCCACCGCCGCCGCGCCCGCCCCATGCCCTGAGCCAGAGCGCCCCGTGAGAATGGGGGCATACCCGGGGGAGGGGCATGTGCGCGGCGGGCGGCGGGGCGGCCCCCAAACCGACGATGTCGATCAAGGAAGAGCCCTGGAAGAGCCCTCCTCCTCCTCCTCCTCCTCCTCCTCCTTCTCCTCCTCCTCCTCCTCCTCCTCCTCCTCCTCCTCCTCTTCCCTCCCCATCCATCTCCTCCTCTTCCTTCCTCGCCCTCCGCCCTCCCTCCTCTCTCCTTCGTTATCCCTCCCTCCCTCCTCCCCCCCCCCGAGGCCTCAAGGCACTGGCCGGCCCAGTCGGCCTTCCGCGGGGCCGTGGCACGACTCGAGAGACCTGCCTCGCAGGGGGGCCGTCCGCAGTTCGCCTCGGGGCTGGGTCGGCGAAGAGCGCCGACGTCTTCTCGGCGGCGGGCCCGAGGGGGGGAAGTTCGGCGTTCTCTGATTCTTTCGTCGGTTGCCAGCGGTTTCACAGCCTCGGGTTGCTTTCCAGCAGCTGCGCCTCGCCGAGAGCGTTCCTGAGGTGCCCGAGTCGTCCCGAACGGCCGCCGGAGTCCCGGGTTATGACCTGAAGTCCAAAGTCGGCGGCGCGCCGAAGGGGGTGGGCGAGAGGGGGCAGGTCTTCTCAGGAGGCGGCGGGGCTTCGGAGAAGACCCCTGAGATCTTTTCAGAAGGCCAGCTGCCATCTGAGGATTTTGGGCCCTCTCTGCCACCCCCTTTGGGCGCGCCGCCGAAATGACCGGCGGCGTCTTCGCGCGTTGGCGATTGATTCGGTTGATCGATCGATCGACCCGACCGATCCGAGCAATCGGTTCGACCGGTCGATTGGCTCGATTCGTTTGGGGCGTTCTCGATTGACTCTGTGGCGCGCCCCGAAGGGCGACCCCCCTCCTCGTCCACGAATGGGGGTTCGATTTGATGGGTTCGATCGCGCAAGTGATTCGATCGTGTGGGTCGATTCGACGTTGAGTACCAGCGCAGAGGCGTGTCATCGATCGTTTCGACGACGCACCTCGAAGGGCCCCACAGAGGATCGAAACCCTCCTTTTGGAGGTCGGACCTCCATATCGAATGGAAGAACATGCAGAATGGATAGCAAAAACTCAAATGGAAGTCGAACCTTCATGTTGCAGGCCCCCAGTCCTCTGGAGCGACGCGCCTCGTCCACGCATCGGGGGCTCGATGCGATCGGCTCGAGGCTGCAAGCGGTGCGACCGATCTGCCATCAGCACTTCGGCCTCTGGGTAGCTGTGGTTTGTCTGTTTGTCCGATCCATGCGACGATATCAGGCTTTCGTGTTTCTTTCCCTCCACTCCTTTCTCTCTCTTTCGCCTCCTTCTCCCATGATTTGGCCTCTGGAGAGCCGCTGTGGCGCCCAGGACCCGCGGTACACCAACGTGATCGCAGTGGCGCGCGCTCGCGCGCGCATGCAGAGCTTTGAGAGCAGAGAGCCTCGTTGCGGGGCAGCGTCGGCGGCAGCAATTGCGGCGGTGGCGGCGGGTGCGCGGAGCCGAGGTCGGACGATCGGGAGGAGCCAGGAGGCCGGGGGAGGTCGGAAGATTGAGGAAAAATAGGGAAATCGTTCAGTAGCAAATCATGGGAGCCTGGTATACCCGTTTATCTGTGTCTTCAGCGCCGACTAGCGTCGATTAGCATCTAGGAGTCGATGAGATAGCGTCGGCTAGCGTCGATCAGCGTCGATGTAGCGTCGATTGGCGTGGATTTTGCGGCGATTAGCGTCGATTCGCAAGAGCCGACAAGATGGTATGGGAGGCTCCCATGAGTTGCTACCGAAAGATCGGGCGAGGAATATCCAGCCAGGGCTCGAGCTGAGCGGTTTTGGGGGGCGATCTCGTGGACAGCTGTTTCTTTTCGTTGCCGCTCTGCAGCAGGGGGCGGAGAGAAAAACCAGACCGAGAGAACACGAAGACGACACGGAAGCGGAGAGCACTGTTCAGGTCGAGCCCTGGATCCGGCAGGTTCGCCTCGTGTCGGCGCGGTGACGAGCTTCGCGCGGGCGTTCGAGGTTGAGCGCCGCCAGGGGCCCCCGACTCGGCCGATGTGGAACGATCTGACGATCGAGGATGCGCCGATCGTTCAAAGTTGGAGGATCCACGCAGTGTCAGAAGGCAACGCCGAGGTCGTCACGACGCGCCGTACAATCCAGACGCTGAAATAGGGGCCATGCTGAGCTCAGGAGGGGCTCCTTTTTTCGAGCCGTTCCTCACGCCTAGGTAGGGGGACTTCTTCGTTGCCGAGGCTCGCCGTGGCCAGGGAAGCGCCTTCGTGTCCCATTCCGCGCTCCCTGTGGCAGCACTACGACTGCACCCGCTCTCGCTGCCCTTCCCTCGTTGTCGCCGCTGGGGAGCCTGCTGGGGGTGGGGAGTCCTGCTTGCCGCCGGCGGGCTCGTCTCGGAGTCCTGGTCAGAACGCGCCCCGGGAGAGGTGCGTGGAGCAGCGGCATCGGTGTCACCCGGCTGCCCCTGAGGATGAGTGTTGCTCACGGTGGCGGCAGAGAGATGATGCGAAGAGGGAGATGCGAGTCGTGGTGGCTGGCGACCGTGCGGTGATCGCCTTGCCCAGCCGTCGGGGAAGTCGACCGCCTTCCTGATCGGAGCTGTTCTGAAAGATGTGCCCAGATTTACTTGGCATGGCTTGAGATAGTGGTCCCCTGGCAAAGCAGTGATATCTTGAGGCCCAGTAAGAGTAGGCGCGTGAACATCAATGCAAACGTACACCCGCACGCGCCTTCGACGATTTCCGCCTCTATCTCACGTGCCTCACTGGCTTCCACTTTCCTTCCTCGACCCCGACGCCTGCCGATCCGATTCAACGGTGGGCCTTCGGTGCTTTCTACCCTCCGGCTGGCCCGCTCGCTCGTCGCGCCGCCATTCGCCGAGACAGTTTGGCTTTTCTTTTTTCACAACAAGCCCAGCGAGAGCAAAGAGCGCCCCTCTCCTGCCGCCCTGGCTCGTGCGTTGCAGGCTGCGGTCCTCGTGTGCCACGTGTCAGATGTTAGCGCTTCTCCCGATCACCCCTCCTTGTTTGCGCCTCCTCCTCCTCCTCCTCCTCCTCCTCCTGCTCCTCCTGCTCCTCCTCCTCCTGCTCCTCCTCCTCCTCCTCCTCCTCCTCATCCTCCTCCTCCTCCTCCTCCTCCTCCTCCTCCTCCTCCTCCTCCTCCTCCTCCTCCTCCTCCCCCCCCTCTTTCTGTATGGACACGGAGACAGCAGAGACGAGCACAAGTTCGCTCCGAGCTTTTGCTTGGCTCTCTCGCTGTCCTGGCCGCGTGGCCGATAGCGTTTCCATATTCTTTGGTGGTCGGCTGATTTCGCAGCCCGTCCCCGCTCCATGCCCGAAGGCTGGTCTCAGTGACGTGACCGCGCTTGGCTGTCGAGTCATCCAGCCGTCGTGGTCGACGAACCAGCGCGCCGTAGCATACTGGCCCTCCTCTCGGACTGGGCTGGGACGAGGATAAGTCCGTTCCAGAACGTTCCGGAACGCTCTCGGAGCGTTCCGGAACGCTCTGAGAAAGTCGCGGCGACCGAGGCATGAGCCGCCAGATCTCAGAGATGTTCGATTGATCCTCCCCCGCTTTTATCCTCGCCCTGGCTTCGTCTTATCCTCCTCTGGTCCTTCACCCCCGAAGCCCCGAAGCCTCGAGGGCCTCCGAGGCCCGCCGCAGGGCCGCTGCCGCAGGGCCACCGCGGCGCCCTCCGCGGTCCTGTCGCGGCGCCGCCGCAGGGCCGCCGCCGCAGGACCTCACGGGGGCCGCCAGGGGGGGCCTTCGAGGGCCTCGGCAGCGCGCGCCGCGCGCGCGCGGCAGGCGAGCCCGTTCAGCCCCGGCGCCTTCCGGTTCGAGGGCGCCTTCTGGCCAGGCGCGCGCCCCGGCGTTCAATGCCGTCGTCGTCGTCGTCGTCGCCGCCGTCGTCGCCTCCGACGCCGTCGTCGTCGTCGTCGCCGTCGCCGCCGTCGTCGTCGCCGTCAGCGCCGCCGCCGCCGTCGAAGCCGCCGTCGCCGGCGTCGTCGTCGTCGTCGTCGCCGCCGTCGTCGTCGTCGTCGTTGGCGCCGACGTCGCCGCCATCCAGCGGAAGGGTGTCCTGCGCAGATACAAACTAAGCTTCCCCATCCCGGGGGGGTGCTGTCTGTGAAATCGCAGTGATTTGCGTGAGCTCTTGGTAGGTCCAGCGTAGCGACCTCTTTTTTTCAAGCTAGGTGGCTTCAATTGCTCAACGAGCTTAACTTTCGCTGGCTTGCGAGTGGTCCAGGAGAATGCGGTCTTATTCAGATCCACTACATCCGTCCCTCGGCACTGCCAACTGCGCAACTCTCTTCGTATTCGTCCGCTTATTGGAGGGCCAGCGGAGCGTGGCCCGAAGAGTGCCCACAACGGAACATGTTCCTTACTGGATGTTGACAACCACGCAGCATCCGCGTTTCTCTTTGTCATCTTCGCCCTTCAGTCCTCCATCCCTACATGCCCCATTCCGTTGCGTTGCCTCGCATCGGTCCCATGATGCGTGCAGTCCACAACGGAACATGTTCCTTACTGGATGTTGACAACCACGCAACATCCGTGTTTCTTTTTGTCATCGTCGCCCTTCAGTCCTCCATCCCTACATGCCCCATTCCGTTGCGTTGCCTCGCATCGGTCCCATGATGCGTGCAGTGCGTTAGCCCCCTGCGTAGCGCTCACAAAGCGTAGTATTTCTTGTCATACCATCATGTGCACTGTGTATGCCCATTGCGTAAGTATTGCCGCGTGCTGCAGATGTGTTGGGTACGCAGCCCAGTTATTTGGCGCCAGGATGGTAAAGTGTAGGTGCGCATCACGCGAAACACCTGGCCCAGCCTACGAACACGTCCGTGGTGCGGCAGGGGTGAGTCACAGACAAGGAGGAGGGGTAGAGGGAGAAGGAGCATCAGGAAGACAAGGGAGGACGGAGGACGGAGGAGGAGGAGGAGGAGACGCCAGCAGAAGGATGCGTCCAAGTCGCCCGAGCACCTTATTGTTGAGCCCGCAGGGCGGGAGTCTCATTCACGGCGGGGCCATGCTGCAATCAGTGGGTGTTCGGGGTACGCCCTCGACGAGGGTCGGTACCAGATCGCTTCAATGTTCCTCTTGGCCCCCTCGGCGTCCCTTGGGGGGCAGGCGGTCTTCGGGGCCAGCGGAGGGCCTTTGGAGGTCCATGGGCCACGAAGTGCGTGAGGGGTGTACCGAATCGAAGCTCCCCTGAACCGTCTGAGGGGTCAACTAAGGGCCACCAGGAGTCCAGGAGGCTCGAAGTGCGTGAGGAATGTGCCGAATCGAGGCTCACTTTAGCCGTTTTGAGGGCCAGCGGATCGCCCCTGGAGGTCCTCGGGGCACGAAACGCGTGAGGGGTGTGCCAAATGGATACCCCAAGGAGCAGTCTTTGGAGCCAGCCGAGCTCCCATGATGCACGAAGTGCGTGGGGGGGGGGGGGGCGAATTGAAGTTTCTATAGTTAGGTGAATATTGTTGGTAGTGTCTTTTTGACCGCATGTTAACATACCAGAAAGGCCTGCGCACACACACGCACTCACACGCGCTCAGGATGGGGCTCAGGCTCGGGATCGGTCTCCAGCTCGCGCTCGGGCTCGGGGTCGGGCTCGCACTCGCCCCCGAGCTTCCGAGCTACCGTGCGCGCGCACGCACGCACGCGCACACCCGCACGAACGCGCGCACGCGCACGCTCGCGCACACGCGCACGCGCAAGCACTGCCCCCGTTTGAATGCGAGGCGTGAGTACAATGCGAGGACACCGAGCCCTGGGCCCTGTACCCCCCCCGACCTTTTTTCACAGTTACAAATATCTAAGCGAGGTGTGGCTCCAGCGCCCAATTCTGACGAGGGCTGTTCCAGCAGATTTTGCCGTCAAGAAGGGTGGGTTCCAGCACCCATGTTTGACGAGGGACAGTGGTTCCAGCAGTCCGCGACGTGGGTTCCAGCACATAATTTTCACAGGGTAATGGTTCCAGCAGATTATGCCGTCAAGAAGGCTGGATTCCAGCACCCATGTTTGACGACGGGCAGTGGCTCCAGCAGCCCAAGGCGTGGGCTCCAGCACACAATTTTCACCAGGGTAGTGGTTCCAGCAGATTATGCCGTCAAGAAGGGTGGGTTCCAGCATCCATGTTTGACGAGGGACAGTGGTTCCAGCAGCCCACGGCGTGGGCTCCAGCGCCCAATGTTCACTAAGGATAGTGGCTCAAGCAGATTATGTTGTCAAGAAGGGTGGGCTCCAGCACCCGATTTTTGACGAGGGGCAGTGGTTCCAGCAGCCCACGGCGGCACTTATTCCCCAATCAGTGCTTGCACTGAAGGGGTCCTCGCGGAAGTTGAAGGATTTGGCGAAAGTGTCCCGCCGATTTGGGTCGCACGCTGGGTTCCCGGGTTCCCGGGTTCCCGGTTCCGGTTTCCGGGCCGATTTCGGAGGGCGGTGAGGTTCCCGGGTTCCCGGGTTCTTGGTCGATCTTCTTATCGATCGGTCTTACCATCGATCTCATTATCCACTTCTCTATTGATCTCACCATCGATCTCACAGTCGATACCACTACCGATCTCACAAGCGATCTCACTAGAAATCGCATGAGCGATCTCGCGATCGATCTCACTATCGATCTCATTGAATCGATTTCATTCTCGGTCTCACGATCGACCTTACAATCGGCCTTACGATCGATTCCACTATCGATCTCATCATCGATCTCACAATCATCCACTGGTCACTGATCGGGGTTTTCTGAGGTGTAATTTTTGACGACGGGCAGTGGCTCCATCAGCCCACGGCGTGGGTAGTAGCACGCAATTTTCACCAGGGTAGTGGTTCCAGCAGCTTATGCCGTCAAGAAGGGTGCTCTCCAGCAACCATCTGCGACGAAGGGCAGTTGCTTCAGGAGCCCACGGCGTGGGCTCCAGCACGCAATTTTCACCAGAGTAGTGGTTCCAGCAGATTATGCCGTCAAGAAGGGCGATCTCCAGCACCCATTTTTGACGAAGGGCAGAGACTCCAGCAGCCCACGGCGTGGGCTCCAGCACGCAATGTTCACCAGGGTAGTGGCTCCAGCAGCTTATGCCGTCAAGAAGGGTGCTCTCCAGCACCCATCTGCGACGAAGAGCAGTGGCTCCAGCAGCCCACGGCGTGGGCTCCAGCACACAATGTTCACCAGGGTAGTGGTTCCAGCAGCTTATGCCGTCAAGAAGTGCGATCTGCAGCACACATGTTTAAGGATTGGCAGTGACTCCAGCAGCCCACGGCGTGGGCTCCAGCACGCAATGTTCACCAGGGTAGTGGTTCCAGCAGCTTATGCCGTCAAGAAGGGTGATCGCCAGCACCCAGTTTTGATGACGGGCAGTGGCTCCAGCAGCCCACGGCGTGGGCTCCAGCGCGCAATGTTCACCAGGGTAGTGGCTCCAGCAGCTTATGCCGTCAAGAAGGGTGCTCTCCAGCACCCATGTGCGACGAAGGGCAGTGGCTCCAGCAGCCCACGGCGTGGGCTTCAGCACGCAATTGTCACCAGGGTAGTGGTTCCAGCAGCTTATGTCGTCAAGAAGGGTCATCTCCAGCACCCATGTTTGACGAAGGGCAGTGGCTCCAGCAGCCCACGGCGTGGGCTCCAGCACGCAATTGTCACCAGGGTAGTGGTTCCAGCAGAGTATGCCGTCAAGAAGGGCGATCTCCAGCACCCATTTTTGACGAAAGGCAGTGGCTCCAGCAGCCCACGGCGTGGGCTCCAGCACGCAGTTGTCACCAGGGTAGTGGCTCCAGCAGCTTATACCGTCAAGAAGGGTGATCTCCAGCACCCATGTTTAACGAAGGGCAGTGGCTCCATCAGCCCACGGCGTGGGCTCCAGCACGCAATGTTCACCAGGGTAGTGGTTCCAGCAGCTTATGCCGTCAAGAAGGGTGATCTCCAGCACAGCACCCATGTTTGACGACGGGCAGTGGCTCCAGCAGCCCACGGCGTGGGCTCCAGCACGCAATTTTCACCAGGGTAGTGGTTCCAGCAGCTTATGCCGTCAAGAATGGTGATCTCCAGCACCCACTTTTGACGGCGGGCAGTGGCTCCAGCAGCCCACGGCGTGGGATCCAGCACGCAATATTCACCAGGGTAGTGGTTCCAGCAGCTTATGCCGTCAAGAAGGGTGATCTCCAGCACAGCACCCATGTTTGACGACGGGCAGTGGCTCCAGCAGCCCACGGCGTGGGCTCCAGCACGCAATTTTCACCAGGGTAGTGGTTTCAGCAGCTTATGCCGTCAAGAAGGGTGATCTCCAGCACAGCACCCATGTTTGACGACGGGCAGTGGCTCCAGCAGCCCACGGCGTGGGCTCCAGCACGCAATTTTCACCAGGGAACGTCGTTCCAGCAAATTCCATCGACAACAAGGGTGGGCTGTCGTCTAAGAGTGCACCTCGGACCACCTGCGCCCCACCCACGAACCCTCCTACTCCGTCGAAGATTTCACCAGCTGAATATCGACCTAACTGAAGGGGAATTGTTTTGCGAATCCATCCTGCTTTACGTCGGACGGCCTTCGGGGTGTCCATGGGGAATGAAGTGCGTGAGAGGTGCCCCGACTTTAAGCTCCCCTGAGCCATCTGATGGGGTCAGCTAGGAGCGCGAGGGGTGCGCCCGCCTGAGCGCGCAGATCACTTGTATTCTCACGTGTCCCAGTAGAGTATGGAGCAGGAAATACGTGAGGGGTGTCTAGTATTGAGTCCTTCGTGGCTTTCGAAGCGCAGACCACTCGTATTCTCACGTGTCCTTATAAAGTGTGGAGCAGGAAAGGCGTGATGTGGTGCGCCAGAACGACGCTTTCTCTTCTCTGAGGGCGCATCTCATTCGTGTTTTTACATGTCCCAGTAAAGTATGGGGCAGGAGATGTGTAAGGGGCGCATAGGATTGAGCCCTTCGTGGCCTTCCAAGCGCAGATCATTTGTATTTTCACATGTTCCAGTGAAGTGTTGAGCAGGAAATAATTGAAAAGCTATGCTTTCGCTGCCCTGAGGGCACATCTCACTCGTGGTTTTGCGTGCCCCAGGAGCTGTCATGCGCGCGGGCCTAGTGCTGGGAGCAAGTTGCATTCTCCAATCAGTGCTTGCACTGACGGGGTCCTAGCAGATGTTGAAAGATTTGGCAAAAGTGCCCGGCCGATTTTAGTAGGCGGCCGGGTTACCCGGTTACCGGTTCCCCGGTTCCCGGTTGTTGGTTCCGGGCCGATTTCGGTGGTGGTGGGGTTCCCAGGTTTCCGGGTTTTTTGGTTCTTGGTCGATCTCCTCATCGATCGGTCTCAACATGGATCTCATTACCCACCTCTCCTTCGGTCTCACGATCGATCTCACAGTCAATTTCACGATCGACCTGACAGCTGATCTCAGTATAGATCGCATGTACGATCTCACGATCGATCCCATTATCGGTCTCACTGAATCGACTTCATTATCGGTTTCACGATCGACCTTAATATCGCCCTCACTACCGATCCCACTATCGATCTCAGCATCGATCTCACAATCGATCTCAATATTCATATCACTAACTGTCAAGCCATATCCACTGATTGGCGTTCTTCTCTGGTGTAATTCGTATTTTCTTTTAACGTGCCCCCAAGGGAATAGAGGGAATCGGCTGGCGGATTGCGCGCACGTTTCACTCGTATCTTTCGTGTCCCAAGGAACGTGCATTTAAAGCATACACCAACGCACAAAAAAAATATCCCGGCTAAGCAACCTAACAGCGATGTGTAGGAGCATATTTGGAAGCATTCCCCTTAAGAGTCGGATGGGAATCCAGTTGTAGAATTCTGCTGTTCTCGCAGTCGTAGTCGCATTCGCGATGACAGTCGCAGTGGCAACGGCAGTCGCAGTCACAGCCTCAGCCTCAGCCTCAGCCTGCCTCAGCCTCAGCCTGCCTCAGCCTCAGCCTCAGCCTGCTTCAGCCTCAGCCTCAGTCTGCCTTCAGCCTCGGCCTCAGCCTCAGCCTGCCTCAGCCTCAGCCTGCATCAGCCTCAGCCTCCTCAGCCTCAGCCTGCCTCAGCATCAGCCTGCCTCAGCCTCAGCCTCAGCCTGCCTCAGCCTCAGCCTCAGCCTGCTTCAGCCTCAGCCTCAGTCTGCCTTCAGCCTCGGCCTCAGCCTCAGCCTGCCTCAGCCTCAGCCTCAGCCTCAGCCTGCCTCAGCTCAGCCTGCCTCAGCCTCAGCCTCAGCCTCAGCCTCAGCCTCAGCCTCAGCCTGCTTCAGCCTCAGCCTCAGTCTGCCTTCAGCCTCGGCCTCAGCCTCAGCCTGCCTCAGCCTCAGCCTGCATCAGCCTCAGCCTCAGCCAGCCTCAGCCTCAGCCTCAGCCTCAGCCTCAGCCTCAGCCTCAGCCTGCCTCTGCCTCAGCCTGCTTCAGCTTCAGCCTCAGTCTGCCGTCGGCCTCGGCCTCAGCCTCAGCCTGCCTCAGCCTCAGCCTGGCATTCGGATTCGCAGTGGCAGTCGCAGTGGCAACATCAGCGGCAGTCGCAGTGGCACTGCCAGTAGTTGCAATAGCAATAGCTACACTAGCAGCAGCAACAGTGGCCCGGGAGTGGAGTTCTGGGAAGTGGAAGAGCACGAAGTGGCCTACAGTTGGCTCCGGGCATTCAAAATGTGGCCCAGGAATGGTGTTCTGGGAAGTCCAAGAGCACGAAGTGGCCTACAGTTGGCTCCGGGTATCCAAAATGTGGCCCGGGAATGGGGTTCTGGGAAGTCGAAGAGCACGAAGTGGCCTACAGTTGGCTCCGGGCATCCAGAATGTGGCCCGGGAATGGAGTTCTGGGAGGTCGAAGAGCACGAAGTGTGTGACTGTTGGCGAAAAGCGAGCCCGGCTCTGTTCCCGGTTCTGTTCCCGGTTCTCCTCCCCGGCACCCGCCCAGACCCCCTTGAGGAGTCCAGATGCTCTCTTTTGACCCTACTAGAAACCTATCAGCAAAAGCTGTTAGGTAACAGTCAGTGGATGGCTTGACAATTCGTGATATGGACAGTGAAATCGATTGTGAGATAGACCGTGGGATCGATAGGATCGATCGTGAGACTGATAGTGAAGTCGGTTCAGTGAGATCGATCGTGAGATCGCTCGGGCGTGAGATCGATAGCGAGATCGATCGTGAGATCGGTAGACAGGTGGGTAATGAGATCGATGTGAGACCTATCGAAAAGGAAATGATATCGACCAATAACCCGGGAACCTGGAAACCTGGGAACCCCGCCGCCACCGAAATCGGCCCGGAACCAAAAACCCCGAACCAGTGAACCCGGAACCAGGAACCCGGGAACTTGGCCGCCTACCGAAATCAGCCGGGCACTTCGCCAAATTTTGCAACATGCGCTAGGACCCCATTCAGTGCAACCACTGATTGTGGAATGTCTTCGTCGAAGCATCTTAGAAACATCATCGGCCAGCGGAATCCGCGAAGCTTCTCTTAGCATGCCTTACGCATGCCATCTCACTCTTCTCCATCACTCTCCCTCTCATCATCTACCCGGCGAGCTTACCACACGGCCAGGGCTCGTAGGGGGCGCGACGAATGCCATCGCTTAGCTTTTTCCGCCGGTCCATATTGCACCACTGTTGCTATATGTTGGTGTGCCCATGGTGGGCGAGAAGGAGGATAGGGGACTCGATAGGGCAGGAGGAGGAGGAGGAGGCCTCTTAATTGCTTCTTGATGAACCGTGGGGACCAAACTGAGTCGCGGACAGGACGCCTCTTTGGAAGGCTTCGTGGGGCCGCCTGGGAGGCCTCTCGGGGGCCTCTTGGCGGCATTTTTGGAACCTCACGGGGCCTCTTGGGGGCCCCGTTGGGCATTGTTGTGGGCTTCTGGGGCTTCGTGGGCCTCTTCAGGGCTTCTTGGGGGCCTGCTGTCGGTCTGGGGGGCCGAATTTCGCAAAATGTCTGTTCGGATTCCCCCTTCTTGGGGCCCTCATGGGAGCCTCTGGAGCCCTCTGGGGAGGTTGGGGCCCTCTTGGGCCGTCCTGGGAGCCTCTTGGGCTGACTTGGGGCGATGTTGGAGCCTCTTGGGCATTCCTGGGCGGTCGGAAACTCGAAATAGCGGTAACGGCAAAATCTGTCATGAACCTGATCAGAATCATTGAGTTTTGCCTCTTCGGGCCAACTTGGGGTCGTCATTTGGAGCCCTCCTGAGGAGTCTTGGGCGCCTCTTGGGCCCGTCTTGAG